GACAGACAGGCAGACAGACAGACAGATAGATGACAGACAGACAGACAGGCAGACAGACAGACAGATAGATGACAGACAGACAGACAGGCAGACAGACAGACAGATAGATGACAGACAGACAGACAGGCAGACAGACAGACAGATAGATGACAGACAGACAGACAGGCAGACAGACAGACAGATAGATGACAGACAGACAGACAGGCAGACAGACAGACAGATAGATGACAGACAGACAGACAGGCAGACAGACAGACAGATAGATGACAGACAGACAGACAGGCAGACAGACAGACAGATAGATGACAGACAGACAGACAGGCAGACAGACAGACAGATAGATGACAGACAGACAGACAGGCAGACAGACAGACAGATAGATGACAGACAGACAGACAGGCAGACAGACAGACAGATAGATGACAGACAGACAGACAGGCAGACAGACAGACAGATAGATGACAGACAGACAGACAGGCAGACAGACAGACAGATAGATGACAGACAGACAGACAGGCAGACAGACAGACAGATAGATGACAGACAGACAGACAGGCAGACAGACAGACAGATAGATGACAGACAGACAGACAGGCAGACAGACAGACAGATAGATGACAGACAGACAGACAGGCAGACAGACAGACAGATAGATGACAGACAGACAGACAGGCAGACAGACAGACAGATAGATGACAGACAGACAGACAGGCAGACAGACAGACAGATAGATGACAGACAGACAGACAGGCAGACAGACAGACAGATAGATGACAGACAGACAGACAGGCAGACAGACAGACAGATAGATGACAGACAGACAGACAGGCAGACAGACAGACAGATAGATGACAGACAGACAGACAGGCAGACAGACAGACAGATAGATGACAGACAGACAGACAGGCAGACAGACAGACAGATAGATGACAGACAGACAGACAGGCAGACAGACAGACAGATAGATGACAGACAGACAGACAGGCAGACAGACAGACAGATAGATGACAGACAGACAGACAGGCAGACAGACAGACAGATAGATGACAGACAGACAGACAGGCAGACAGACAGACAGATAGATGACAGACAGACAGACAGGCAGACAGACAGACAGATAGATGACAGACAGACAGACAGGCAGACAGACAGACAGATAGATGACAGACAGACAGACAGGCAGACAGACAGACAGATAGATGACAGACAGACAGACAGGCAGACAGACAGACAGATAGATGACAGACAGACAGACAGGCAGACAGACAGACAGATAGATGACAGACAGACAGACAGGCAGACAGACAGACAGATAGATGACAGACAGACAGACAGGCAGACAGACAGACAGATAGATGACAGACAGACAGACAGGCAGACAGACAGACAGATAGATGACAGACAGACAGACAGGCAGACAGACAGACAGATAGATGACAGACAGACAGACAGGCAGACAGACAGACAGATAGATGACAGACAGACAGACAGGCAGACAGACAGACAGATAGATGACAGACAGACAGACAGGCAGACAGACAGACAGATAGATGACAGACAGACAGACAGGCAGACAGACAGACAGATAGATGACAGACAGACAGACAGGCAGACAGACAGACAGATAGATGACAGACAGACAGACAGGCAGACAGACAGACAGATAGATGACAGACAGACAGACAGGCAGACAGACAGACAGATAGATGACAGACAGACAGACAGGCAGACAGACAGACAGATAGATGACAGACAGACAGACAGGCAGACAGACAGACAGATAGATGACAGACAGACAGACAGGCAGACAGACAGACAGATAGATGACAGACAGACAGACAGGCAGACAGACAGACAGATAGATGACAGACAGACAGACAGGCAGACAGACAGACAGATAGATGACAGACAGACAGACAGGCAGACAGACAGACAGATAGATGACAGACAGACAGACAGGCAGACAGACAGACAGATAGATGACAGACAGACAGACAGGCAGACAGACAGACAGATAGATGACAGACAGACAGACAGGCAGACAGACAGACAGATAGATGACAGACAGACAGACAGGCAGACAGACAGACAGATAGATGACAGACAGACAGACAGGCAGACAGACAGACAGATAGATGACAGACAGACAGACAGGCAGACAGACAGACAGATAGATGACAGACAGACAGACAGGCAGACAGACAGACAGATAGATGACAGACAGACAGACAGGCAGACAGACAGACAGATAGATGACAGACAGACAGACAGGCAGACAGACAGACAGATAGATGACAGACAGACAGACAGGCAGACAGACAGACAGATAGATGACAGACAGACAGACAGGCAGACAGACAGACAGATAGATGACAGACAGACAGACAGGCAGACAGACAGACAGATAGATGACAGACAGACAGACAGACAGATAGATAGATAGATAGACAGACAGATAGATGACAGACAGACGGACAGACAGATAGATGACAGACAGACAGACAGGCAGATAGATAGATAGACAGACAGATAGATGACAGACAGACAGACAGACAGACAGACAGACAGACAGACAGATAGATAGATAGACAGACAGACAGACAGACAGACAGACAGATAGATAGACAGATAGATGACAGACAGACAGACAGACAGACAGACAGACAGATAGATAGATAGACAGACAGATAGATGACAGACAGACAGACAGACAGATAGATAGATAGATAGATGACAGACAGACAGACAGATAGATGACGGACGAACAGACGGATAGATACATAGATATATTTTATATATATAAAATCATGGGTATTGTTAACATATTATACTGTCTGTATAATGTTTTAATAAAAGAAACAAAACTTAAGCTTCAGTTGCTCAAATGAAAAATTCCATCAATTTATATGCATCAAAAATGCATCATACTCTTTAGTTCATGCCGAGTTACCCTAAATGAGCAAGCCAGCCGGCTGGTTGTATCCTCTTAGTGAATGGGTCATCTGGAAAAAAACAGAGAAGTTGCTCAGTGTGGTGCCAGGAACACAATTTTAACAATAAAGATTTTTTTGCAAATGTATTTCTTAGTGTGACTGTTAAAGTCTGACCCTTATCCAGGAAATAACTGATTAAAAAGAGCAGGAACCTTTAAGAACATTCAGCATGAGTCTTTTAATATTATATTGAATTTTATTATTTTTAGTTATACTTATACTCATTATAATATATGCACACTCCTAATTTCTGTAAATTAAAAACATTTTGTAAATATATTTTGTGAATTATAGCAGAGAAAATCTGTTCACCTACACAGGTGTAGTTTTGTGCCTAAGACACTGTTTATGAGCATCATACTTACTTTCCACGTGTCTCGCCTCCTGTCAGAAGTCCTGTGTGACCCGCTGAGTGATTTTAACGTCTGGACGTCCACTCGGCCCCTCAACAACAGCGCCAAGGGCCACGCAGCCAACGAGAGCGTCGTCATCGCAGCCACACGGGTGAGGAATAGACTCATTCGACATTTGTGCCCATGTTCTGCTAGAGGTTTCCAGCTGTGAACAGAACACTCTTCTTTTGTATCTCAGCTCGACGGCAGGTCGTTTTTCTGGGAGCAGGCGCCGTCGGCCGAAGGAACCGTGTCTGGAATCGTCACCCTATTGGCCACCATTCAAGCCCTCTCTCCTGTCACTCAGGAAGCCCCGCCCCCTCGCAATATCTTCTTCAGCTTCTTCCAAGGGGTCAGCATCATCATTTACACATTATTCTTCAATCATTATTAGATCCGACTGCGAGAAGTGAAGACATTTTGATACAAAACTGGATTTAAAATGATGCGAATATTAACATTTGTAACCACTCGCTGTTACACATGTAACATAATGAGGTCATGTGACCTGTTTGTTTATCGCTATATAATGTGTACTGCTGCATGCAGTATGCAGTACACTAGTATGCACTACAGCGGAGATGCTGTATGAGTAGAAGTATGCAGTAAGCATCTGTTCGTGTATTTTATTACAGATTTATATATTTTTACAAGCTCTCCTTCTCTCTCATAGGAAGCCTTTGACTACATCGGCAGCTCAAAAATGGTGTATGACATGGAAAGAAATGATTTTGTTATTGACTTGAACAATGTGCACTCCATGCTGGAAATTGGGCAGGTACGAACACATCCATGTTTATTTATATTCTTTTATTATAATACTTATTTTTTTTATTATTATGGTTATTTGTATTCAATTGTTATTATTATATCATTTAAAAAAGCATGTCACAATGTCAAATAACTGATTTGATCGTTGATTTTTATTATTGTTTTTTTTTTATATTTGTATTAGTAATGATAATATTATTATTACTGCTGTTGTGGTGGTACAATTTATTTATGTTCTATTATTATTGTTATTGTTAGTAATAACAATATTTTTATTTATATATTTTTTAGATTATGTTGTTAGTATTATAATTTTTTTATTATGATTATTTATATTCTATTATTATGATGTTTTTATTATGTTTATATTTATAACATATAACATATTATGCTATATATAGCATATTTATAAACAACCGTAGGTTGACCAAAGCACTGTAAAGAAGGTTAAGACATATAAAATAAATAATCGAAAATATGAAATTATTATTATTGTTATTTACTGTTATTATTATTATCATTATCTCATAAATAGGGCTGCTCGATTATGGCAAAAATCATAATCACGATTATGAGTGGGCCACATGACCAAATCTTTATATGAGTGATTTATTTAAAGATAGCAGTATATATCAACTATGTATTTTCTGTAAATATGTTTGCTATGACATCTGCATTTTAAAGACAAGAGAAATTTCACAATTCTCAAAACCACAGCAGAATACGAGAGAAACTCATATTAGTAAGAAACTAAAAAAGTCCTCAAAAAGTATTACAACTGTCAGTAATACAATAAAAACAAAACAAATACAATAGAAAAATATATAGAGATGAAACAAAAAAGTATTCAGCTAACATTGAACATTGAATAATTTAATGTAAAATAAAACAACATAGTCTTCACTGAAAGAATTAAACTTCCTTTGTTTCTTATTAAAGCTACAGATGTCCTTCAGTCAAGAGCAGTGAGTGATTTTCTCTCTGTCTTCTGCTGTTTGATTAATATGAAGCACTGTAAGCAGCAGGAAGATTAGGCTGCTGTCACTTTAAGAGCTGCACGGATCCAATTTACTGTTACGCACGTATTCTCATTCTCAACCGTTTACATTCACTTGAGACATAACCGATGAGGGTTTATGTGATTAATAATCACCAAGCGCTGCATTTTGACACATTTTTGCATATATTTAGATGCACATAAGATGACTTTACATGTCCGTGTTCTGCTCCGTGTGCTCAGAAATCCTCCTGAGCAACAGCGCGAGTTCTCTTTCATGCTTTTAAAAACATTAATAAATCTAATCAACTTTAATAAATCAAGCACGTCCCATTTTGCAAAAATCACATATGATTTTACTGATTTGAAAGGGGGCTGTTCAATAACAGTTTTATCTCGATTATTGTATTTTTATTTTGTATTTTCGATTAATTGCACAACTCTAATAATAAAAAAAAAACATTATTTATTCAGGGCTCGACATTAAGCCTTGACATGTGCTTGTCTTTCGGACAAGTAACTCAGTCATTCACTTGTCCGAGTAAAAAAGTTACTTGTCTAAGGGAAAAGTTTTTTTTGGGTGCAAATATAATTTATTCTGAAGCAATAGTCTCATCGGTGCTCTATCAGGTATTACTTTAATCAGCATATTTGTGATATTTGCCTTAAATTGATTGCTGTTACACTTTTTAACTTTATGAAGGACAATATTTTCCTAACCTGATTAAATGTACATGTCACCATTTACGTCAAATTCTTAAATTTGATCGATACGTTAAGTTAGAATAATAAGACACTATATGGTTGTTACTATTCAAATGAAATCAGTATCAACAAACTCCATCTTTCCACTGCAGAGGAAACACAGAAGCTGCATCGAAAGTGCCATTTAGATGTATTTACTCAGACTGTTTAATGAAGATAAGAGGTTCCATAAATTAATTTACTCAAAATTGCAAATGCTTAAATAATGTTATTAGATTAATGTTTTACTTTTTTGACATACAAATAGGAAATGTCGGAAAAAATGCAATGATACTTTTAAATATGAAATTAAACCAATAAATGAAGCAAGTGACTGTCTTTATGAATGGCTCACTGAATCATTGACTCGTTCAAAAATGTGCAAAAACGTGCGTCTAAAATGCAAGTCAGTTAATATTACTTGTTTATTGAACTAAAGTTGTTTAAAATCAATATCACATTTGCAATCGTGCAAAAATTCGGGAAAACATCACTCTTGGTCGTGTGATGTTGCATATATTATTTAGAATATTTGTCTCTTTTTCTACCACAGTGTGTTTGTTCATACAGTGGGGCAAAAAAGTATTTAGTCAGCCACCAATTGTGCAAGTTCTCCCACTTAAAAAGATGAGAGAGGCCTGTAATTTTCATCATAGTGATACTTTTAAATATGAAATTAAACCACCAGTAGGTGTTGGCAAGTCACTGTCTTAATGAGTGAGTCACTGATTCAACTGATTTGTTCGATAAATGAAGCAAGTGACTGTCTTTATGAATGGCTCACTGAATCAACAAGCGTTAATGTCGAGCCATGAATTATTATTATATCATTAAAAAAAGCATTGCATGTCAAATAACAGATTATGTTTGACTGTGTATTTGGAATATCATTATCATTAGTTTTCTAGGAACCAAAAAAACACGTGAATAGAAATAATATGAATGCGTGATGGAGAAATGCAGCGTTTTGTTTAATATTTAACATTATCTGCTCTGTCTCTCGTTTGTTTCCCACTGAAGTTACACGTAAATGGCTTTTGCCTGTTTCGAATGATCCACCCACAGCTAGAGACTTAGATGATGCCATTAGCGTTAACAATTTGTCGTTTGAGATGCTGCATGTTAGTAACAGGTGTCCTGTGTTTTAATAGGTTGGCCTGCGCAGGGGGCGAAAAAAAAGCATTGCATGTCAAATAACAGATTATGTTTGACTGTGCATTTGGAATATCATTATCATTAGTTTTCTAGGAACCAAAAAAACACGTGAATAGAAATATGAATGCGTGATGGAGAAATGCAGCGTTTTGTTTAATATTTAACATTATCTGCTCTGTCTCTCGTTTGTTTCCCACTGAAGTTACACGTAAATGGCTTTTGCCTGTTTCGAATGTCTTTTGTCATTTGAGATGCTGCATGTTAGTAACAGGTGTCCTGTGTTTTAATAGGTTGGCCTGCGCAGGGGGCGGAGCCTCTGGATGCACTCTGACCCCGTATCCCGCCAAAACAAGAGTGTGGACACAGAGGTGAGTGAGGAGGAGAGGAAACTCTCTCTCTTCTCTCATGCATTATCTCGCTCACCCTCACTCTCTCTCTCATGCATTATCTCGCTCGCCCTCACTCTCTCTCTCTCTCAGGTGTCGGCGATGATGAGCGGAGTGCAGTCAGCTGCTGCTGGTCTGAACCTCACAGTGGATCAGCCGTCGGTCAGTCAGCCGTTGCCGCCCTCGTCCTTCCAGCGCTTCCTGCGAGTCAGAGGGATCCCAGGCCTCGTGCTGGCAGACCATAACACCTCATTCAACAACAGGTCTCAAATCAGAATCAATCTGTGATTTAGTTTTTTAATGTTTCATGGTCGGCTCATGACTGATGTCTGCTAAAGATGTCTTGATTCTTTTCATGGTCTTCAGGAACTATAATAATGATAATCGTGACTTATTCTGATCCGTCACATCATATTCTGGCGTCATTTTTAAGTGTTAGTAAATCTAAAGTTGGATGTAACTTTGAGAACAAACATAAAATACATTTTCAATAAAACTGTTGTTTTGTTCAGAGTTCAGACAAATGCGAAAATCGACCCTTGTTTTTACCCTGCAAACACGCAGAGCTTTAAATGTGAACTGGTGGATCGATAAGAAGACAATGCATGTAAAAATCTAAACAGTATAGGGGTGTGCGATATGTATGGTCTGTGATAATATCGTAATTGTTGTTTTAACGATGTGCGATTTGATATTATGAGTATATCGCGAAAAGCAAACACAAAACACACGTACAGAGTGCACGCATACATTAGGTGATGAAGTCTAGTAGGTTAGACTAGTGCGCGTGCGCATTTAGAGCGTGTTCTTTCACAGTCTATTACCGTATTGACCCGAATACAAGACGATGTTTTTTTTCTTGGAAATACTTCTGAAAAAACCCGGTCGTCTTATATTCAGGGTCTAGACTTTGACATGTCAATAATACACCCACAACACTAGGTGGCGCCAAATACGCATAAAACGAGTGAGCCATGAAATACAGTAACGTAATGCGTGTTGTAAAGATCGCGAGTAAAAACTAAAGCTTACAGCTGCATGAGTCGTGACGGTCACATTAGCCTGACGGCACCAAACTCTCTGTGATTTTAAAACGTAAGACAGTACCCAGATTTGAAGACTACAGTAAGATTTAACTTCTACTGTTAATAAGATTGTGGTAGGCTACTATTAGATGGATAGCCTAAATGTCCTAATTCAGATGCGCTACCTGTTTTTTAGTTTTTTTAATGGTATATCAAAAAGTGTTTATTTTTTAAATGTGATTGTTGGTACAGTTTACCAGTTTTTACCATACTTTCAAAACAAAAATTAAAATAGGAAAAATATGCAATATGAAAATAATTGAAGACAAACTTGCGTTTTACTGAGAAAAAACAAGATTTGGTTTTTAAAAAGCCTTTTTCCAAAAGGTACATCTGGAAAAAGGGGGGTCGTCTTATATTCGGGCCAATACGGTAAAATGCATTTAGATTAGAATTATCACATCATTTAAGATATGGGACAGAAAATGTATATATATCATTTCATATAGTTAATAGTGCCGTTTTTTTCTCCAAAAGTAAGCATGATTACAAATGTGATATTGATTTAATACAACAGTTCAATAAACAAGTAGTTAATATTCAGAGACTTACGTTTTAGACGCCATATTTCCCGTTTTTGCTCTATTTCTCCAACAAAAATCATTTCAAACACAGTCACAGCGCTGTTTTGCGTGTCTGAGCAACATGACGGTGTTTCGTTCCTGAATGAATCAAGCGTTTAAATGATTCGGTTCAATCGCAATGACTCACTTATTAACAGTGACTTGCTGCCACCTGCTGGCGGTTTTCATTTCACATTTAAGGTATCTTTTCATTATTTAAATAATTTCAAACATCGGTTTTCAATGTGTTATGTTTGAAATATCAAATCATTATTTCTGCATTTGTAGCAGCAGGTTAAAGTATTTAATGTCCCTCAGAGCTGCATTAAACGGTGCGTAAATGCATCTAAATGTCACTTCTAATGCAGCTTCTGTGTTTCCTCTGCATTGCAAAGATGGATTTAGTTGATACTGATTTAATTTGCTTGGTAGAAACCCAAATGCAAGAATTTCACTTAAAAGATGCAGCACACTTTTAGAAAAAATGGCTTAAAGGTAAAAATGCCCATAAAACTTGTTGGAAGTTATTAATTTCTATCACTGCTGTGAACTGACCAGCACACAGAATATGAAGAATATCAAAAACATTATGTGTCAGCTCTCCACGGCAGTCCTTAAGATATCAGCACTCAGCAAAATATCGTTTAATCGTTATCAATAAAATCCTAGAAAAATATTGAGATATTTTTTGTCAGTATCGCACATCCCTAATTTGTTATTTAATTGATATAATAATTTATTGATAATAATTGTTTAAATTAATATAATAATTAAGACTTTTGACTCTGAAATGTAAAAGCTATCATTTTATAAATCTTTGTTTTTGTGAAAACTTGTATCTGAACTAAATTATGCTTTTTACAGTAATTTTACAGTTTATTATTTTACTATAGACATTGCCCTACCCTGCTCATATGGTATTCATTTTATTTGTGCAGGTCTTAAAAAGTCTTAAATTTGAGTGAAAACATTTTTAAATATAAGTTGAAATTGGTTAAATTAATTTGACGAGTTAAAGTAATGGAGAAACATATGATGACGTGATTTATTGATACACAGAATATTTTTAGCCAGCATGTGATTTTTGTAAGACTTCATTGACAGTAAAGAATATTTTATTGGGAAGCTTGCTTTAAATGATATTAGGCAACAGTTTTTTCCCGGGAAAATTTTGGATTTTCAATCAGATATCAAACTGAAATAATTGCTCTAATTTCTATACTCTTGTAAGGAAAATATTATTGAATTGTATATAAGTTTCATTATTTATTGAAATATTATTGCTATTGTGCTTATTTTAATATATTTTAATTTTATTTAATGTGCCATGAAAATAGCATCTTCTGCTGATTTAGTATTTCATTTAATTTAACTTTAATAAATGAATAGATAAACAATATTTTTATTTATTAGAGTTAATTTGTCACATCGCAGAACTATTTAAAATGAACTACTGAAGACAAAAAGGTGCAAATCTGGAAATAATTAAATTAAATTAAATTGAAAATAAAATAAAATGAAAAAATTATAGTTTTATATTTTAATAAAATTAATTTATTTGTCGCATCGCAGAACTATTTAAAATGAACTACAGAAGACAAAATGGTGCTAATCTGGAAATAAAATAAAAAAATTATAGTTTAATATTTTAATAAAATTTAAATGTATTTGTCACATTGCAGAACTATTTAAAATGAACTACCAAGGACAAAAAGGTGACTAAAATGATTTTTCCTTATATACTGACAAATTTAGCCTAGTAATCTTGATATTGATTTTAAAACGTCCCTGGTCATGTCATACATCTGCTACCTGAACATCTGTCAAAGGTTTAATATCCTGAACACAAATGTCGCCGAATCCATCGTCGAGTTCTTGTAGTTGTTTTTGAACATGACTGTGTTTCCTGACGGACTGATATGAACTCTTAGTCGCTGTGTGAAGCCTTTGTTATGATCGTGTGCGTTAGGCGTCTGAAGACACATTTAGCATGTTTTTTGTCATCTGTACCTGAAACAGATATTACGAGAGTCTGTACGACGACGCAGAGAACCTGAACGTCACGTATCCTCCCGACCTGAGTCCAGACGAGCAGCTGGTGTACGAGACAGACGCGGCCAAGGTGCGTAACTCCTGCTGATGTGTTTACTGTGCTGTAATCAGTGTCAGTGCGGTCAGACTCATCCAAGCTTGCCTTTCTCTCTCAGTCTCTGGCTGAAGTGGCCACACTAGTCGCCCGCTCACTTTACATCCAGGCCGGAGGAGAAAAAAAAAACCTGAACAACATCACCGCCGACCCCAAGATCGTGAGTCACACGACCAGCACTAACAGACACACACACACACACACACACACAGACACACAGACACACACGGTCGCTGCTGCCTCCTGAAGTCACTAAGAAAGGAGACAACAGCATTCTGAGTGAGACCATCTGTGTTTATCCTGCATTCTCACACACAAACACACAGCGCATAAACGAACTCCTGAGGATGCATACAGCAAATATCAGTAGTCCACTGTATTTCTAGACTTCAGAAGTCACATGATTGATTCACGTGAGGAACAGACGCAGATATAAGTGGTTTTTGCATCAACATGTTTCTGACTGCGTGCGTCTCCTGTGGTTTTTAGGCTCTGGTCCTCCTCAGTTCTACATCGGACTCGGTCCTCGCATCCACGGCCCAGTTCACAGCGTCACACGCTTCGTTCAGTACATTCTGGCTAATCTGACGGGAACCGTCACCAACCTCACGGAGAGCCAGTGCCAGAATCCCAGCGAGGTCAACACCGAGAACAAAGATGTGAGCAAAGCTTCATCTCACTGACACACTCGGCAGGACATGAAGGGGTTTTCAGAAGGGAATTATTGTGCATTTGTTGTGCAGAAGTTTGGGATCAGTTAGACTTGTAATGTTTTTAAAGAAGTCTCTTCTGCTCATCAAGGCTGCATCTATTTGATCAAAAATACAGGAAAAAACGTAATATTGTGAAATATTATTATGATGTAAAATAAAGTTTTTCTATATTAATATATATTAAACTTTAATTTATTTCTGTGATGTGCAGCTGTATTTTCAGCATCATTACTCCAGTATAAAGTGTCACATGATCTTCAGAAATCAGTATAATATGCTGATTTATTATCAGAATTATCAACAGCTGTGCTGCCAAATATTGTTTTGGGAAACTGATACTTTTTTCAGGATTCTTTGATGAATAAAAAGTTGAAAAGAACAGCATTTATTCAAAATATGAATCTTTTCTAACAATATAAATCTTTGCTATCACTTCTTAACGATTTAACACATCCTCGCTGAATAAAAGTTTTAATTTCTTGAAAAAAAGAAAGAATAAAAATTTACAAACCACAAACTTTTGAACGGTAGTGTATATTGTTAGAAAATATTTATATTTTAAATAAATGCACTTCTTTTTAACTTTTTATTCATCAAAGAATCCTTAAAAAAAGTAAAGGTTCCAAAAACATATGAAGCAGCACAACTGATAATAAATCTGCATATTACACTGATTTCTGAAGATCATGTGACACTGAAGACTGGAGGAATGATGCTGAAAATACAGCTGCGCATCACAGAAATACAGTACAGTTTAACACATTCACATAGAAAACAGCTATTTTAGATTCTAATAATATTTAGCTGTTTTTACTGTATTTCTAATCAATAAATGCAGCCTTGACGAGCAGAAGAGACTCCTGTAAAAAACATAAAAAATCATTCTGATCCCAAACACGGTAGTGTATATGCCTTAAAATGTTCAATTAGTGTCATCAAAAGAGAACACCACCTTTTATTTCAAGCCAAGTTTATTGCTTTTTACAACATTGTTTCAAATCAGCTTTATAGCAATTCATAAAGTTACTGTTTAAAATGAATCGAGCAGTTTAGAGCTGAACTATAGGATAGTTTACATTCAGTGTCCATATAAACCAGATGAGATTTGCTTTTAGTAAAAATGGCAAATGTATATGGCTAAAGATTGATATTGATATAATTCCTGTCGTTCTTTTTGTAATGATATTGAGGATTATGAGAGCTGTGGCCGGTTGCATAAACTGCTTAGACTAGCGTTAAAAGTTAGATGCCTCATTTTTCTTCAAGACTGGTCCTAACTTTTACATGAAAACTTAGATTGATCTCATTTGAATCTGAAAATTAAGACTGATAGCCACTCGGTTAACTGCTAGTTAGCCAAACTAGTTCTTAAGACAGATAGTAATTAGGTTTTTCACGACACCAAAATGTTATTAAGGCAGTATCCTACATAGACCAAACAATCCCAGAATGCATTGTGACAAGCCCAGGAATGTATATTTTCATCCCAGGTGGTGGACTGATTTTTATTTATTTATTTCATTTTATTATTTATTTTTATATGAATTCATTTTTGGTTTCAGTTATTTATTAATTATTTATTTTTATATATTTATTATTAATTTTATATTCATTATTTA